TGTGTGTGTGTGTGTGTGTGTGTGTGTGTGTGTGTGTGTGTGTGTGTGTTTGAGATTACTACGTAAACCTTCGGCGTGTACTTCATTTCTGCCAAATCACATTTCAGTGTACATGCTTAAACGTGCATATTACGCCATGTAAACTTGAAAAAACCTCCTCTTCAAACTATGATTCATGGTACATTGTTATTAAAATGAAGATGCCACAGGTCCTGAATGAGTGATTGCTTGTGTGCTATAACAGATACATGTCAATGGTAACACTCAAGATAGCAGCTATCTACAGGTTAGTACTTATTTAATGGCTTACTGTACAGTGAAAACATGCCCAGGCGAGATAAAGAAACACATACACACACATACGGCCATACCCAATGCAGTCATCTTGTCCCTGAAGGTAGTCGTTCACATTGTTGATCAAATAGCTGAAGAGGCGTCCATAGATAGCTTTAGCAAGCTGGTCTCTGTACTGCTCTGACATCTCTACCGTGTGGCGTCGGGTGATAGCTTCACCTGGCGCAAAGGGAATATGAAAACACATTTTCTGGCATTTGGAAAGAATAAAATGCTTCCTTTTGGGGATTTTTCTTTTTCTGCTGCAAGAGGACAAGCAAAAATGCTTGTCAGTGGGAGACTTATGCATATATCCTTCTATGCTATACAAAGCTATAGTTGGCCTAACTGAGAAGGCTTGGCTGTCCATCGTTACTGTATTTTCTTCACATGTATTCATGAGGCATTCCCAGGCCAGAAGAGATGTCTGGACAGAATGTTCTAGTCAGGAACATGTGATAGTTTTTGACAATGACTGACGACATGAAGCCCCCTCAGACCCCCCAAAAAAACAAACATATCTTTAACCTTGTTTTTTGGAGCACCACCTACATTCTAGATCGGCGAGGTCAGACTGCTAGCTGAATTGTTTTACAACTAATTTGGAAGAGCTTTCGAAATAAGGATCAAGGAAACTCAATCCAAACAGCTTTTAACCAGCTAAAAAAGGATCTGCCGATGGGTGCAATTGTTATACAGTTAAAAGTGTGACAAAAAATATTAAATAAGGATATAATTTAAAAAAAGAATGTGCGACCATGTGACAACAGCAATAGTCTGACAAATTAGGTTGTATGCAGAATGAATAATTTGACTTTTTTTCCTCAGGAAAAACACACGTGGCTAAATTAGCAGTATGAAAACTAGTCATTTCAAAGCAAGCCAGAGAAAGGGTAAGAAGCGCCATCTACTGATGAATAGAGTTGTGGGCGGAGCCTGATTAGCGTCATCATAGTTCCCTATTTAGTGAGTGAGGAATAGGTGCAGAATCATAAACAACTTAAAGGCCATGAGACCAAGTTTTTCTTTGAGTTTACAAATGTAGTTTTGAGAATCAAAGATGAACTTTTAGGGGATATTTAACAACTGGATTAGCACTTAATGATTTACAAATCCATATAATAATAAAATAATGTTTGATGTAATGTATTTGTGATAAAAGAGTGTTAAAATCTTTGTACCGGAAAATCTTGTCAGTAAATTATACAGATTGATAAAGAGTTTAAAGTACCTTTAATATACTGGACATCAGATGTGAGCGCAGAACTTAAGTCATTGGAGGAAACCTGCAACAATCCAGAAACTATGGAAAGAAAGACAGAAAGAAGGGCACAAAAGAAAGAGCAAGAGCCATGATGACAAACATCAAAATAACAGTTTAGGTAAATAAGCATCAGTGAGGTTGTTCCGACAGCATAACAGTGCTCTGCCTATCTGCTTGGCACTTTAGAGATGATGACATCACGCTGACAGCACAACAAACTGAACTCTGCTGCATTGATCTCTGCTTAACGGACTGGCAGAACTCGCAGCAGTTAGTCACCACTGGACTTCTGAGCAGAGTCCATAAACAAGCAGCAAAAAAGAAGGTGATGGCAACCCAGAAACCCTCGGCTGACATCACCAGGCATGACATTACATCTCCCTGACAACGGCTGGCTCTTTCCCGTTCAGGCCCTGATGTCATCTGTTTACCATTTCACAAAAGGTTGTGGGGTCACACCAGCACAAGAAGTGGGTGCGTAAAGGCAGAAGAATGTGTGTCAGAGATTCTCCTCACCATGGTTACATTTTGGCAGAAAACACTGCTTACCAAACAGGTGACTTTAGCTAAGGCAGGCAAAATGGGGGGGGGAGTTAGCTCAGAGCTACGGGAACGTGGTTAAGAAGAGGAGGGTGAGACACTCCTCTTTCTCCTCATTCAGTACTGCTTTCACAAAGGTTGGGGCACTGACCTCTCTCCAGCAGCTGCAGGTCAGAAGGGAAGGCTGTGCTGGCATCTGTCAGTGCCGTGAAACGTAGGTCACCAATATGGAGCACAGCAGATAGCAGCGTAAACACAGAGTCAACCTCCTAGCAGACAGAAAATAGTATAAAGAGACAGAAGAAAGTGGCGGGATAAAGAAAGTATAAGGTTAAAGATGGGGGGCAAATACAGAGGTCTATATTCTAGAAACTGTTAAGTAGTGCATTTTTCTGTAATCAAAATCAAGAAAAATGCTCTGTTTGCTCTTTTTACAGTCACACTTACACGATTTGCGATGAGATATTTCTGATACTTTTGGACAATTTATTTTCATATTTAATGTTTTTATTTTCAACACTGGAAAAAGTATTTTTTATTTCTAATTTGTAACTTTTATCCTAGAAAATTGTTTTTTTGTAATATATTTGCAGCTGGTTCAAGTCACAGATTTGTTGATGTCAACAAACCGAAAACTAATTGTCCTAAATGAATAGCCCTTCTATAACAAGCCCTCATAGCCAGAGCTTTGCAGCCAAAGCCTTCTTAGGTTCAGTCCTCTTTGCTATAGACCTCCGATTGAGTCCAAAATGCAAAGTGGCATGTGATCACTTCGCCTAATTATCTTGACCCTGGAGTTTATGTCTATTTTAATCTCACCTGAAAACTGGTGCCTAAAACACTGACAGAATGATGCACCAGTAAATTACTTCAAAATGCTTGCTTTTTTATATTTGGAACTTTTTTTTTCAAAAGCTCAATTGGTTTGCCTGGAGGCCAATGTTTTGGTGTAGTATTTCTGAAAACGGCATGCACAATAACTCAAGAAAGATCACTTTACATTATAAAGAAATAAAAAAACGCAAAACTGTTAGCTATCCTCTCTCCAGTCACACCCCTTCTGCTCACACTGCCTCCCTCTCTGCCCTTCAGGAGGGGACACTTAATGGAATACCCCAATATACACCTGCTCTAAATCTCAGAGAGAGAGGGACTGTCTGAGTTTAAGGATGTGTGCTTGTGTGCCTGTGTGAATACATATGTGTGTTCACTCTCTTAAGGCAGGATATTGGAGCTGATATCTTGGAGATAAACACAAGCATTAGTCTCTGTCTGACACTCTATACACAGAGCGACCCCCCTGCTTAGGGAGGTGAGGGAAGGGAGGGAGGGAGAGAGGAGAAGCGATAGGGAGCGTTAATGACGATTGACCTTTGGTTCTGGACTGGGAGTTGTCTCCTGATGAGAGCTTAAACAGAGACCAATGGGTGGTCCATCACTTCCACTAACACCCCCCTGCCACCCCCCCTCTCTCTATACCTTGGTGTTTAATCCAGTGGACAGTAGCGCTCTCAGATAATACCTCCACATCCTTTGCTCTGTTCCTATGTCTTATACATTGGGTGTAGGTAATGGCTGCTGCTGCATCAAAGGGCGAGATGATGGTCACTTACTGCTGATAAATATTAACTGGGTATCTCAGAATAGAACCTGAGTATGGGCTGGGAACACAGCTGGTGGTGCACGGGATGAGCTGTCCCAATGTGCACTACAGACAAGCTATTTTAAATATCCTCTTCATGTGGTCACACACTTCAGAACCTTAAATAGTGTAGATGGTTGACGATAGGCCCGTTGGACTTGGTATTCTGTCATCCACCTTTCAAAGGTTAGTTATTCAGAACCAGATTTGGGAATTTAGTCATTGTTATCATGTCCGAACTAGCCCAGAAAAGGTTTGGTTATGAAAGATTTTATTGCAGACCATCTCAGGTTTCAATCTTTAGTTCAAAGAATGTTGGACTCAGTGACCCAGGAAAAATATGAGCTAAAATCTCATCACGGACCTAATTAGAGGCTTGTGACTTCAAGATCTATGACACCAATGCTTTTACGTCTGTCTGCTGTCAATAACATTTGACTAAGCAGAATGTCTTGATCAATACCTGCTTGTTGAATCCCAGGGCTCGCAGGGCTTGTTTGACTGCAGCCAGATGTTCCCTGCTTTGAGTAGAGGCTGAGGCCACTGGAGGAGTCTCTCCTGGAAGTCCTCCACTAAGATATCTGAAGGAAGAAAGACGTGAGAAAGTTGAAAGGCAAACTTGAACAAACAACCACATAACTGTACTAAATATATTGAGAGGTGAAACAGAAGCGTATTATGGGGGTTTTTGGCATAGTTAGATACAGTCCTAGGTCAAGACTCAATGTCTGGGCAAGAGGAAAAAGGCAGGCCAGGTTTTGTGAGATTGATTTACTAGAATATTAATATGCACTTATATGACAGCCACATACCTATGAGCCAGGACATTGTTGAGGTAAAGTGCACTCTTCTCCTCAGGTGAAAGGCCCTCAGCCATTAGGTAGAAGATCCGGAAGTTATGATGCTGAGGACGCAGGTGGACTAGACGAGACTTCTCCAGCATGTAAGTGCACACGCGGGCTTAAACATCAAACAAGCTTTTTTAGACCAGAGTTATAGAGAATAATTGACAAGTTTGATGGCTGATGACAGCAGTAGCAAGTACTGAGTAGCAAATTAGATGGAAGAAAATGAAAGGTAAGAGTGGACTTTTGCTGCCCCCTGTTGTTGACTCATGGTAGAGCGCCTGAACGCCCCATCAACTATAATGTTTCATTTTCAAATAATTATGTTGCATGAAAAGTGTGTCATTTAATTTTTCAATTGTTCAATGGGAAAAAAATCTAGAATAGAGACATTCCGGAATATAATGAAGTAAGTTTTGTATGTTTCAACTCATGACTCAGACAGAAAAAAAAATCCATTTAAATGTTTTTAATGTTGCAGTGATATAGAGAAATAACTGCAAGTTACCTCTGAGCATTGCCCTTCTCTTTTCACAGTATTGGATGGTCAACAGTTTAATAAAACGGCTTGAGTTGGTGTTTCTTGGAGTTTTTGCATGACCGAAGGCTTCCAGAATACAGTTTACCTGAAGATTACACAGCAAAACAGGAAATGTTACCTAACCATGACCTTTTACTTTCTTAACATGACAATAAAATTAAACACAAAGTATTTTTTACAGAATTGAGACAATTTTGGATCCGTAGTCCACTTGAATTTTTACCACTAGATGTCAGTGCACATTAGTATTTGGAATTTTTGTGTCCCAGAATGATAAGCTGACCCAGTTATTGACTACATAATGATGACTTCATGTGAATACCTTACAGCACAGCTTTTTCTACACGGCTCAGTGGCTCACTTAAAAATGAACTCACTGCTGAGAGGCTTAATTTTGTGGAACATGAGAAGAAAAATCCTAAACCACAGCTGTAACATTTAGAGAAGAGATGGTAGAAACCTGAACGACTCTTCCTACACTATGTTTCCTTTTCATGAAAGCAAAAATGAAATAGTATGAAGTATTTTCTCTCAAGTAAAACATATGATGATGCTCTAAACACAGGTAATGTCATCTAAAATTGTATAAACGGTTAAGCTACACAACTTAACCTGCTGAATAAAAGAATGTGTTGTCTGCAAAAATAGGACCTGAGTAAATTCCACACTATGACCTGTGCAAATTCACACATCTACTCTTTCCACCATGGTATGACACATTCACGCGGTTATAATGACTGTCTGACTGCAGTGTGTGCAATCTGATGCTTTGATCTTTGAGACCAAAGGGGGAAAAAATAACACAGAGAGAAATATGATGAGGTGACACAACTCAACTCAGCTTAGCTTTTATTGTCATCCTCCCACTAACAGATAACAGATGAACGAAATGTGGACCCAGGCACAATAAACACCATATCGATAAACAAAAATGAACTAAAAGGTGAGTAAAACAGTTCAAGACACTCTAAAGGTTGTAGAAAATTGCAAGACATAAGATACCCTAGAATGGTCTGTAAAGCAGGGATAAAGCAAGCAAACAGGTATTCATTTCCTTAATGAGAACTAATTAATCTAATCCAGGAGTCAAGCAAAAGACACACAGCCGCCAAATGTCTTAAATCATGAGGTGCATTTGCCCGCTGACTGAAGTGTAAATGAAGGAGAACACCTTCCAAACAGACAGATTTAGACTTACATGTTTCATTCTGGGCTCCAGCAAAAAGCCTTTGGGGCTGGAGCGGGCTGTCAAGTGTCTAACGATGTGCCGACATGCTTCGGTTTTCCCAGAGCCACTCTCACCACTGATTTGACACAAAAAAAAAAACAGAAGTAGATTTAGGTCATGTTACTATTGTTCAACATGTTGCCACAGTTGCAATAATCTTAGTTCATGATGCTGCAGGCTTTTTTACGTCGGAAGAATAAAGTCTTCATCATTACTGTGAACCCTACCGTTGCATCGCAGTGTTGTGTGAGACGGCTGTCATAGCGTTGAACCAATTATACATCAAAACAACTTTTTTTACATTTTTGGTAACAAATGTTGGGTAAAAAAAATTGAGAATTAAATTAGGTCATTTTAGTTGTGTTTTCACTAATTTTTACTCTTACTTCTTTAATAGTTTTAAGCAACAAGTGTGACATACACACAAAGGGGAGATTGCTCTCCTCATGTATCACAGCAGGGAAGGTGTGATGCATAAGCCGGGGCGTTTCCTTCATCTGTCATTTCTGTTAAATATCTCCACCCACCTAACATCATCCCTGCAGGGACCTCCGCCAATTAAATTTATAATCTAATCCTCATGACTTTGATAACTGCTCCACTGACAACCAGTTTTGCACACTGGAGGCTTGTTTTTAATTTTTTGTTGAGTGGATATTAAGGCTGACATAAGGTGCCTCTCCACTACATGCTCTGACACTCACTGACAAGCAGAGAGTTGAGACCTGCATAGTAACACCAACCAGATGGCTTCAGAAGGTCAGAAGCCCTCACTAATGACCGCAGCGTGTTGCGGTGTGCTGTTTGTCTGCGTGTGCGTGTTTCGCTACATTTCCTACTAAAAGCCCTGCTGAGCGTGAAGTCAAGAGGTCTTTTCACTGTCTTTTCATTTACCCGTTTTTATTAGATTTCAAGGGCATTTTGTTAAAGCTCTTGCTTCAGGGGGGATCAGGGTTGCTGATTGCCTGTAAATGTGTAGGAGAGTGTGTGTATGTGTGCTGTATCTGAGCATTTGTGTGAGTCAGAGAGGGAGGAGATGCATGGTGTAACAGAAAGCCCAAAGTAAAGTGAAACAAGAGAGGGGATGATGAAGTGTGGGGAAAGGGCCGAGGAAACAAGAACGTGTGTACATGTCAGTGCACTGTACAATCAGCACAATGTCGCTGTGTTAGTGTGTGTGTGTGAAAGAGATGAATAGCCTGTGGCCAGGGTGCATTAACTCTCTGCCAGATTGTTTACGACTCAGTGGGAATGTCACTGGAGAGCCGGAACAGGATTTAATTGCAATCAGGGAGTTGCTTCTGTCCGGTCGAGGACAAAGAGCAAGACGCTGCTCTCAAGGAGTGTTTAACAGGTGTGTGCCGAGGGGCATTTGCAAACCTAGTGGCCAGTTTGGCGATGATTCACACAATTTTTCACCTATGAAAATGCCTTCACTCCTTTCGCATTTATAGTTTGAAAGCACACAGATGATAAAAGGCTGAGTCTGACTTTTCACCTCAAGATGAAACACTGCGGACGTCTCTCCTGCAGCATCATGTGGTAAGCTCTCTCTGCTGAGGAGAAGATGTGTGGGGGCAGAGAGGAGCACAGGCGGCCGGTGGAGCTCAGGTATAACTGACTGACCTGAGAAAGAGAGGCAGATGTCACGTAACAGGCTGGGAAACGCAGGGTAAAGTTTTACAAAGATGAGAGAACAAAACTCGGTCCCCGGCTACAAAAACGTTGAACTCAATGTAAGCAAGTCAATGAATCCCAAGAGATATAAAACTAGCTTAAGATTAAACAAACATCTGCAAATATAAAGGTCTGGATGGATTTGATTGTCATTACAGGAGAAATCATTAAAAATCTAGTGCTAACATCCAGATCTAGACTGCTTAATCAAACTTTAGAAAAACAATGATTAAAGATGGTCATTTAAAGGAGCCAACAGATGTGTGTGTGTAGGGAAGCTGGTTCAGTGAAGTTGCAATCTGCACACCTTTTTCTACCTCAGTTTTGTTTTTCTTAAATTAAATGGACTGTAATTTTGTAGAACTTTCCTGAATTCCCCTGTAGCTTTAAACCACCTTGAGAGATCATTTGTTGTATTAATCTGAACTGAAAATAATTGATTGGCAATAGAGATGGGTTGTGAATCACCACCCTGAAGTGGCTGACTGACTTCCAGCAGATCACACATGCTGTGACATATGTCCCTCTCACACTGTATCCGCTCTGCTCCCCCACACAACAGCTCAGATGAATCGAGATGCCCGGAATGGATCCAGACAGAGGCTGGAATGGCTTGGCTTCATTTGATCAAAGCAGAAGAAGATGGCTCTTCCTCCAAGCACAAGCCTCAAACTGGCACCAACTCAGCCATTTAAAAAAAGCACTGAATTGCTTAAAGTAAGGGGCTGTCGATCATTAGCTATCAGGATTCCATTAATTTTTTATCTGATAAGCTGAGTAGCAAATTCTAGTTGAGATGTACGGCAACAGACTCTGCATGAACCGAAGAATGTGTAAGTGGTGTGCAGACGTGGGTGCGTGTTTTTTTCCATGGTTGATCTTCAGTCTGCCTTACATCGTATATCGTTAATCGGAAGACTGCATTATTTATCAGCTAAAAAGGTCCATTTCATCAGTTCCTGCTCTGGTTATTATGCAGTCTACATGTCTACTCTAGATCAAATGTTTATCCCTGTTTTTAAAAAAAATGTTCACTGTCTATAGACATCTGTAAATTGAAATATTCCATAGGACAATTTATCTTATTTAAATGTATGCTTACCAAATGGGAGTAGATGGGAAGCTCTTTGTTTGGATTGACCAGCAGCAGGATGTGTCCAATATACGTCTGGCAGAAAAAACATCCAAGTCATTAAGTCACATTTTGATTTATGCATCTTTAATTTATGCAACTTATTTTATGTCGCATTAGACAACACAGGATTGTATAACAAATTACAAAAACTGCACGGCCCTTTTAATCAGCTGAGTGTAGGCTAGTAAGAGATGCAGGGAATCATGGCCATGATACACAAAATGAGTATGTGGGAGGGTTGTTTTAGTAGTAGCCAGGAATGGCCAGGATATCTTTTCTTCTGCAATATATAGTATCATAATTATAAAACATATATCCATTTTACGGGATGCGTGAGGTGAAAACAGTCCTCCATCAACAGTCACTAAATGGCTGAAGCTGGCTTAATATTACTCATATTTGCCAAAAGCCAACACTGACCTGGAAACGGATGTGCCGTCCCCCTCAGACTTTTAACCCATTGCTCAAAGTTCTAGAAATGTCTTTTTTTAAGGATATAAGAATGTCAAGAGGGACAAAAAAGGATAGGGGGGAGACAGCCAATGATATACTGAGTAATGACCTTTTACTAACAAAGACAACAAATTGGTTGTTCAACAGACAAAGCCTTTAGCCTCTTTGACAAAAATTAAGTATGTTCCCGTTTCTGTCCCTTTCCACTGAACTGCTAACCCTCTACCTCTCACAAAGAGCCATGCAACCTTTCTGAGAGCTAAGCTCTCCCTTGGGTGAGTACAAGCTTTGCAAACATTTTGTAACGTCAGAATCTGGCTCAAGGTTAATGACTTTAACAATTCTCACTTCTCACTCCAGACAAAACAAAATTACATATATATATATATATATATATATATATATATATGCATATCCCTTCTAAAATCCACGAGGGATTGATTTTTCGACTTGTCACCAATACACATTTTATTACTGTCTTCTGTTGCATCCATTCCCAGTTCCCTTCTTTCTCCTCAGAGATTTAGTAAAGGAATGGTCTTTCTTTCCTGGCAGACGGCAGAGCCCACATATGAAAGTCGCTTTGTTGACTACCCTGCCAGGAACATATGGAAAATGTTTTCCTTTGTTCTCTCCCCATTCATGTCCTTCTTCGTATCTTTAAATCACACAAAAAGCCGAGTGAATTAGCAATGGAAAATAAATGAGGAATTGTAGTAACATGTTCAATTTTGATGGACAGTTTTCTTTAAAAATGCACCCGCTGCATAAAAAAAGCTTTGCAATTCAAGACTTTTTCTAGTGTACCTTGATGTTTCACATTACTACATCAGGCAAGATGGGACAGCTACAACTCTTTTCACTACTCCCTCCACATGAACCACACCTCTACTATCAAGCCTTATTATTTAGAACTCTAATAATTTTTCTGTTCATTATCCACCACTCTCACTTCCTTTCATCATCATCCCCTTTCTTGGCCTCCTGCTATGGCTAACCCTGGTGGTTCTTGCCAATCTGGGTCCCTGTAATAACAGACTATTAGTGCCTCCCTCACAGAGAGGACACTGACAGCTCCACATTGATCCGGCTCCAATCTTTATACACCTCCATCTTTACCATCTCTACCAAGACAGGCTTGAGTTTTGAAGGGAGATAGGAAAAAATATATATAAAATGCACCTATTGTTTGAGATGAAAGCCTTCCACTTCAGACTATAGGTATTACTTTCCATTCCCAATCATTCTGAACTTTTATTGATCTTGTCATTTCTAAGGAGGGGCAAATATCTGTGCGTTACAATTAGAACCCGCTCTTTTGAAAGCCATTAAGCCGAATCAAAATCCTGTGTCTTCTAGGTCTTCTCGTATATTTGATTTTATATGGAGTTCTTTGTGAAAGTGCAAACTGGACAGCGGGTTCTTACATAGATTTGGTCATTGCCAAAGCGTTTTTGCATCTCATAGAGCAGGCTGCTGTCGGTTAGCTCACTGAGGGATGCCAGGTCATCATTTGGTGCTGGAGGCATTAGTTTGACCTGAAGACATAAAGATAGTCTCATTCAAACTTGAGATAATGAATAACCTAATTCAAATCACACTTTTCAATATCTGATCTGAACTTTTATTCAAGATCTTTACGATCTTCAACAATAAAAGAACAAAACAACATAGGAGAGTTTTTATCCAATATCAAACTACCCTAAAGACTTAAACTGTAAATCTTTAAATGTAGAAAGACTACATGGACTCATCAATACGCTTTACTTTTGATTTCAGGTTAATTCAAAATAAACACTTTATTAACTTGACAAAGGATATAACAAACGGTAAGAATTACTTTTTTTTTTCAAGAAAAGATACCTGTTCGAGTTTGTTGGGTCCGGAGCTAGAGGGGCCATCCAGGCCATTATCCTGAGAGGGATGTCGGCTCAGTGCCCCACCTGTATCTTTGAACATCACACACTTTTCCAGCAGACTGTCCCGCTTGGAGATGGTGAGACCAAGAGGGTTCCTGTATTATAGAGGGATAGATAGGAACAGAGAAAATATAGATTAGATTTGACTGCTTAGAAATTGGAAGAATAAGCAGATTTAATCAAATAGAGCAGGGAAAAAAGTAAAGCAATGTAAAGAGGAAATTAATGGCTACGTCTAGATTTATGAAACTGTTAACCCACAAGTTCTTGAGAGGAGTGCTGAGGTCATGAGAACCGCCATCATAGCGTTGGTCAGTGGAGGGAAGAGGAGCAGAGGGGTCCTTGAGTCGCTGCAGCCAGCTCTCCTCTGCACTAAGCAGCATGTCTGCAATAGGCTCTGAGACGGCAATGTCTAATAATAATGAAACAAAAAAAGAGCTAATCAGCCACATCATTAGTCTTCAGATGCATGTTTAATTTGATTTAAATATATATTTTGCCACCTTTATTTTTTTTTTCCTGGTATTTTGCATGAATGGCCGATGAAAAAAACTAAGGTTCGAAGTACACCTTGCTGCTCCTTTGTCATGCCAATCCTTCCTCAAAATGAATGTGGATAAGCCTTTAATTGTGGAGAATGTGAATCCCTATGTGGATCAGACCACAGTGCAGGAGACGAAGGGGAAGCTAAGTTTCCCTTGTCTGTAATGAGGTCTAAGAGGGCCTAAGGGAGGGGAATGGCTTCATCCTGTCTTTTTATTTCTGTGTGACAGACAGTACCCTTGACGCCCATCTTATACTCTGTGTTTCTTTCATCGTGCGACAGCTAAAAGAAAAGTGTGGAGCTTCAAGTAAAATGAGGGGATTTTCATTGCCTCTAAGGGTTGTCTCACATCTTTTTGAGTCTGCATTCAAGACGGGGATATTGATTAAGACCAGAGTGAGGCAGTCAAAGGCTCGATTAGACCATGAGAGTAAATGGTGAGAGGCAGCTTTGACTTTTCATCCCACACTAGGAGAGTGTTAAAAATATAAATCCAAAGCCACATTTAGTGACACATTACATCACTTTAACGTGAGATGATGTTCTGTGCTTTGTTTGTTTGGTTATTGTGAAAATTAACATTCTTGCTGCCTATTTGCCACACTACTATATTTAGACAGTGTTACAAGTGCTAATTATATAACAACGGTCATCTAATGGACAGCAAGGCTAATCAATATTAAAATGGAAATATCTTGCAGCACAACAACAGAGTTAGCATTAGGTGTAGCTGCAAAGACTGCAAACAATGACAATAAAAATGCACCACAGCACCTATCAACCTTTGACACAAAAGGTTGAGGTGAGGCAAGCCAGAGAGATCTGCAATCATAATTACACATCAGAACTGGGTATTGCAAACCATCCATTTCCCAATGAGAAATGGTTCTGGTTGTTGGTCAAAACAGCAGCAGATGTCTTAGATGTTCATACATACATAGAATAAAAATTGTTTTTACTTTAGTGTTTGCTGGCAAACAACAGCTGTCTTTGGATAATATCCTTTACCTTCATTAGTAAAAGAAAAATTTAAAATAGCCCCTTATAATGATGCCAACCACTAAATCCAACCATAGCACATGTGTTTACATGCAAACACCATAAAGTAGGTGTTGATATCCATTTGACACCTGCATATAGAATCACATATGTGAACATAAGACTGATTATGAGGTAACCTTATTCGCTGAGTACAATGTGTAATACTGGGATTTACAATGTCACAGGGATTTTTACTACATTGAAACTGGTACGAAAAATTATTTTATTGTCTTTCTGTTTAATTCCCTCCACCTTACTAAAATACAGTTGGGCTCTCCAACTTCAGTGTTTGTATGTATACATGTGTGTAAATGTGTGCGGGTAAAGGGATACCAGATGGCTTGTCTTGGTTGCAGTTCAGCAGAGTCGGGTTTGCTCCGTGCCTAAGGAGCTGGCTAACAATGCTCGTCTGTAAAAGAAAGAAAAATTGACAGCCATTATCGTCATTTCCAAGGAAAAAAGCTCAATTTGTTGCTGCTTTCACATGTTTCAGAGAATCACCCCCAGAAAAGTCACTCAGATTAGTCTTAAAAATCCCCAACTTTAATTAGATTTTTAACACTGGGTAGTTGACAGGTAGATGTAGGTCCCATGACACATCCATGCAAGTGATGCCCCTGGCTGAGGAAACCTTGTTACAATGAGTCAATCTTCCATCACATGTAACAGTGGGTGAACTTCGAAGTTGTCAACCATCATTTCAACATAACAGCAGCATCCAGTCATTGCTGTTCCCTACTGCTCTGTGATTTTCTCTCAGGCCAGTAGGATTTTCTAGGTCTCCTGTCTTCCTCAATATGGTTATATCTTTTTACCAGAACATCTCCACCTACCACATTCATTCAATTTTTTAATGTACAAATGAAATAGGTACTAATCTTAGGGGTGAGGAAAATATCTAAAATGAAAGCTCTAAAATGAAAACCCTGTGCATTCGGAAGTAACACAGAAGGTTTCAGGCCGAGCATCAGTATGCAGAAAGTCGAGGAAAGAACAGCTTAGAATGCAAATGAGGAATTGTCACGATTTTCGAAGTAGTAAAATATGAAAACCTAGGAACAGAGAAAGGGGGCTGGAACCGTTCCCAGCTAAGGCGAGAGGTATTGTAAGCCCCGGACAGGCTGCCAGTCCATCACAGGGCGACGCAGAAATAAACCACACATACACATACACGTCCAGTTGACGTAATGCTTTTGGGTGGTGGGTGGAAGCCGGAGAACCTAGAGGCAACCCACGCAGACACAGGGAGCAGGGAGAACATGCAAACTCCACACAGAAAAAGAAAACCCCTCCTGCTGTGAGGCGACGGTGCTAACCAGCACACCACCGTGCTGCCTGTATCACTTTAATGTGGCATAAATCAGCATAAGTCAGGGTAAAATGGCACATTCACAATAATACATTCAGAAAACTAACTATGAACTGTGCCAACACCACATTGACAGTCTATAAATAAATTCAACATGTCAATGGGACCACAAGATCTGAATCATTAAGCTGGTCAAAGTTTGAAAGAGGACACCGAACAGATTATGAGCTTCTTTAAAGGAATCAGCAGGTACCGTTAATTTGTGATAGAGTTGTGATGTAGCTCCAGGCAGACAGAATCGTTTAAAGTGGGGGCCAATTAAAAGTAAGCCTTAAAATGTTTGTCAGATGTAACACTTAATCCTCAGATTAACCTCAAAGTTAAGAAAAATTAAACAAAATAAATCTTGCTGCTGCCTACTTTCCGTCTAAATAAACGAATTCAATCCAAGCAGGGTGGTATTTTAATAACCTTTCAATTATATCTGAAAATTCCACATAAAACTATTCAGATTTTGAGCTCTCAAGAGAACAGAGCTTTAAAAGCCTCGACTCAAACCAGGGCAGACCAGAACCAGGGTCAAACTTATCACAAAGCCAAGCGGGGGAACCTTAATTAGCACCAGTAATAGGGTCATACATCTTCTTAAAGCACCGGGCTGGTATGTTTGCCTCCAAGCACGAGGGTCTTTGGGGTTTTAATGTAACAGCGGCTGCGACAGTTGCTAGCAAGCATTTTTTTGTGGCTGTTTTCTATCTCATTTAAATAAAACACGTGAGAGAGTGATTGCTGGACTGGATTCAAATGCACAACATCCTGAGTTATTGTGAGAAGGAGGATATAAAAAGAAGGTGATGTAGGACAATTGTTAAGAAGGCTTAAAGAGTACTTTGTATGCAGGAGACAATTCTGTGGCACCAGTCAAGAGCAGACAGTGAGGTGATTTAGCACTTTAAAGAAAAAAACAATCAATTCTCCAATCACTGTTAAGTCTAGTGCACTTAGATGGTACAAACATGCACATAGATGCTGTGTAATACTGAAAGCTGTAAGAATAGTGGTTACATATATTTATATCTTTTTTAATCTTTATTTGAAGCAATTTGGTCTGGATTTGTCCCTATAAATCTACTCATTAATCATCGTCTAACAACTGGAGGAACTAGCTGTGTAAGAGCAGAGAGAGAAAAACAAAGGCAGTGGATCTCCATTCTACATTGCTACGGGACAGATAAAGCAAATACAAATGAATACGACCCTACCAGTGAGCATACACCCCAAAAGGCTGATCAAATATCTAGCTGCATGTGGAATATCTGAATTTGATCATTTCCTTTCATTGTCAGCTGGAACCCTCTCTAACCACCAGCTCCAACGTGAATTATTTTATAATAGCTGATCTGGAAATAAACTTCCCAATTCTGGGAAAAACCAGTAAACTGCTTATCTAAAATGATCCAGCACAGTGCGCCTATGTGTCAGTAGTCTAACAGTTTCTCATTAATCGGTAAAAATGAGGAGTTCATCAGATAACAACCAGCATATTTACCTGCCCATATTTAGCTGCCAAATGGAGGGGGGTCCAAAAGTTGTTATCAGCTGGATGAGGGTCTGCTCCACTCTCCAGGAGCACAGATGTCACATCTCTGTAACCACTGGCACACGCGATGTGGAGCTTTAGAGAGAAGAAAAAAATAAAAATAAAAAATGTAAAGAGAGTTCAAAGTCTACGAAATGCAAAATGGGAGGCTAACACATGAATACACTTACCAGAGTAACCCCATCATCATTGGGTTGGTTGAGGTTTCCAGCTTTGGCAACGAGCTGCTTAACGTCAGACAGCATGGTGCTGGGTCTCTGTGTCTTCATGGTGTGCATGGCTGACACATCTACACCTAAAAAAAAAAAAAGAAATACACACCAATACCAGCATGAAACCAATCTGTAAATATAGAAAATTACCGCCTTTACACAGGATCTTTTGAACCTTTTTTGTCATGAATTAGACATGGCTGTGTTTTCTTTTTTAAACAAAAAATTTATTGACAATAAGAAAATAGTTTTGCTCACGTTTGCCTTTTTTAAAACCAAAAGCAGATGAAAAGTTTTTATTTTTATTTTTTAGAAATGTTGAAATAACCTGCAATAACACAGTGTTTCATCCAGATTTATCATTCAAAATAACCAAATGTTTTAGAATATGTTTGGTTTTCTACGGAAGCGACTTCTTTCAAAAGTTAGGTGCTGAATGCCGTGCATCTTCAAATTTTCGCCTGCACATAGCTGACTGTGCTAAATAACAGGTAATCACACTGGAACTCATGTTGTGGGCCAACACAGAGAAGCTGAGGTCTATTGATCAGTGCACTGCTGCATGATCACATACACAATGTGAACTTCACTTCACTGAGAGCTGTAATGGAATAAATTGATTATCAATGAGAGTTTTTATGATTCAGATGAGTTGTCGTTTTTTAACTAATGGGAATTTCCGAACAAATTGGTTTTAATCGGTGAATCGTTAAGTTTGCCTTTTCAAACAGTTGAGAGGCTTGGAATGCTAAGGTATACCTGACTAGAATTAGCTGAGAGTTAACGGTTTCTGCAGGGCCAGAACTGGATGGAAACCGGTGCAGCATGTAAAGTAAGTTGCTCACTGCAAAAACTGGAGCAATTTAAAGGACATTTTCCCTCCACCCACCGTCACTGATGTAGAGACTCATGGGTAGTCTGTCATTCCCTACCATACAAACTTGATAAGGACTTAGCATGCAACCACGTTTCTATGGCAACAGAGGCTGAATGAGCCCATGTGGGTAAGAGTCTGTTTCATGGTGACAAACCCTAGTGGGAAGGGGGTGGGTTTCAGATATCACCACTGAGGCTGGCACACAGAAGATGACAACAACAAAAAAATCCGTGACTGGGGAAACGTGCCTTTGTGTTTCTGTTTAGGTTGGTCTAGGCTTGATAAATGGGCCTTTCCTAATTTAGAAGCTGGCATTTGTAATGTGATTCACTCAAGGCTGATGTCTGGCAGATGGATGAGGGAAAACCTGTCACTGTCTGTGTCTGTTTCTGTCTAGCTTTGCCAGCCGGATTCCTTTTCCTCTTCGGCTGTATGTTTCTCTGGCACCATTCCCATTGTACCTGTCATTCCTCTTTTGCTTTCTACTCTCTTTTTCTCAGCTCCGGTGTGTTGACCTTGTGCTTTCCCTTTGGAACGCCATTGCCCAAATAACAATCTGACATCATGAGGCCTGTGGGTATACTTCACCTTCATACAGGCACAATAAAGACGGGCCACCACATGTTTACCATTATCAACACTCCAGTTTTTGAATTCATTAAAAAATAGGATTGTTTACACGTTATGTTTTTTTTCTTTCTGAAAGGTTTGATAAAACATGTTTTGGGAAAAAAAGGGGATTGGAGAGAATTTATAACCAGTGTGGTAATTGTAGTAGCCATCAAACTTCACCATTTTCTTCCAAGTGTTTTCGGAGGATGTAGCTGGTCTCTGTTCCCTCGAAGGTGTAGTCAAGAGGAATGTTTCCATTGATGTCTTGCAGCAGAATGTTCACTCCAGCCTTCCAGATGCAAGGCAGAAATAAAAAGAGACAAACTGTGTTTTAGTTTGTGCCATTTATCAGACAATCAATGATTAAGTGGGACTAATTATCTCGTCTTCCCAGTGGCACATACCTGAACAAAGCCATGGAGACGTTAACAGACAATACAGTGAATTAAAGAACTCATTAGATAACTGCCTGGGGGGGGTGGGGCTGTAAAGAATGGGGGCTCTGGTTACCATTACTTGGGATTGCCAGGGTTATAGTGTGTGTGTGACAAGATTAATCTGTGCTTACTCAACATGGACCATGCCGCGGTGGCCCTCTGTCACACGAGATAACACAAGAGGTCTTTCTCCAGGCTTCTGAATCATTTGGTACTTTGATGATAGAACAGTAGTTGACAGCAATATGGTCATGACTGATTGGTTCTCTTCAAAATAACCCAACAAATGATGTACTGTACCGTAAAGCAGCGGGTTTGTAAAAAGTTTGTCGAAAAACAATAAAACAGGGACATTTGGATGATCTTTTCTATTGGTTAAGGTACTACAAGCAGCACACAAGTGGCAATCGTAAGAATCTAAGACATAAATTGCTTCCTGTTGTTTGACTAAACCATAAAAGATAGGCCCGTGTAACGATCATAGCTGGAGAGGTCTGATAAGTGCGATGGGGGACTTTGAGTGAGTCTCCTTGTTTAATATTTACAACTAATAGAATTTTAACAACACAGCTGCAGTGTGGCAATGAGATTTATGTCCCAGTCCCCAGGCAGGCAAAGAAAGAGAGGTAGAGGAAGCAAAAAATGCGAAGCTGAGGGATGAAAATCTAATTTTGGAGCAAACTGATGACATAAAATCTGCTAAACACAGAGATGACCTGCTCATCTTAAATTCTTAAAACCCGCCTGGAGCGGCTCAGCTGATTAACGATTTAAACTGATTTCTTTTATATGGATGAGTAAGGGGTTAACAAAGGGAATAAATTAACAATAATAACTATCAGCTGATGGTTCGTGACTATTCATGAAAAATGAGAAACCTTATCACAAGGTGAATATCAGAGGGAGAACATATGAAAGAACCAAGATGTCCGGGTGCCTAACCCACCCACCTGACATGTATACACAAATTAACCAAATAAAGTTAAAACTGGATATTGAAATCTAAGAGAAAACCTTTTACAAAAGACATTATCGGTCCAGAGTTCCATTACTGCACAACAAAGATCATCAGAAAGGCATCATGTTGAAAGGAACATAAAATGTTGGAACACAAGAAAGGGACGTAAATCATAAACCACAATTCACATGATAAAATCTGACAAGTATCAATGATTAGTTTTTTGGGTTAACAAGCCAACTTGTGAACCCCACACTACATAACCTCAATATGAGAGATCCGCCTTGGAAGATGGATCTCAGTTAACACCACATACCCTGAGCCTCAGCTGTTTAACAGAGTGACCACCAGCAATCAATACAAGCAGATGTTTACTGGAAGTCATCCCTGGGGAAGTCAATGGTCTGCTGGAAATGTTCACTGTGGACATTTAACCAATGCAAATAGCTCACAGACACTAAGTCAACTGTCTCGTCAGTGTGTGACACCGGGCTTCTGCGTTATTCAATACAGCTGTCTACACAGCTGGTGTGAGCTGGACAAATGTGATGTGTGCAGTGTGCACCTGTGAGGCTGTGAGCCGAGGCACATTTTTAGGCTGCGGGTCCATTTTCTCCCACATGCCTGACTACAGAGATGATGTATCTAGCTTTTGAGTGTCTTGAAAAGAAGATAATTGTATATCTAGTGTAGCCAGACAGTTGGAGCCCATTGTTTCTTTGCCTAACATGTAAACAAGGTAAGATTTGAGCTAGCGAGAGAAGAAAGAATACATATGTAACTATATACTGGTCGTTTAATTGTTAGCTTGTTTTTAAAACTGTGAAGGCAGAATGTGAGATTTAAAATAGGCAATACTTATACGGTAGGACTGTAAAAAAAAAAAAAAAAAGTCTGTAATGAACAATGATCAAATCTGCAATTAAGCACATGACGTCATAAGCTGGAAAACTAAAAAAGGCATGAGGTGGAGCTCAGCACGGCCGGAGGCTTGCTGTTAATGATTTTGCTTTCAGAGTCTTACAGCACAGTTTTAATTTCTTCATTTTTTAAATTCTTCACACATGGAAAGTGGGTCAGTTCTATGGCTTTTTACTTCTGCTTCATTTTAGGCTGTTAAAAATGAGACCACATTGTGGAGCAGAAACAAAGCACGATATTCTCTCTGGAGCACATAACTAAAGTCTACCTCAGCACACATTGTGGAGATAACAAAGAAAATAATGGAAATGTCATTTGACTTCATAAAAAAGATCCCCGACAAACAGAAGTGTAGCTTGGTTCCACATCATCCACTGATTTGACAAAAGGTCAAAATTGATGCAGAAACTGCAAATAAATCAGTTTAAGTGCACACTTATTACTTACCACATCTTTTCTTTCTTTAGTATTGTGAGATATTAAATGTGAGAGTCATAAATTACTTCTTATCAAATCAATAACATCCTGCTATCCCATTTCATACTATCAACTGCTAAACAAAATCAACCGTCCCTTTGACCCACTACTTACTCCCACCACCGTCATTAATGACAAATATTAACCAAAAACAGAGTTAAATGAGTTTAGGAATGTCTTGGAAATTATGGAAATGGCTTGCTTCCCTGCTTTTTGGAAGCAAGAGATAATGGAATTATTACTGTCAGTCTGGATGCAAAGCAGCAGTGCACAGACTTCTTACAACCCCCCCCCCCCCCCCCCCATTAGCCCATAAGACGAGATTGGTAACATCTCTGTCAGCAAAAACCATTCTGTTCCTGTGTGTATAAACTGGATCCAGGAAATCAAGGACAGACAAGCAGAGGACATGGAAAGGGAAAAACAGGGAAAGATCAGAGATTAGTACCTATTTGCATCACATTCTGTCCTGTGACAATCAAAGATAACAGCAACATAATTAGGCTCTTCAAGTAAGCCCATTGTTCAGTTTCCCATTAAAATGTGAACCTTTTCAGTTCTGAGTGCACATCTGCCTTCCACTTGCAGCCCTGATGGGGGAACAGCATGAGAGCACAGCAGTTAGACTGAGCAATGGCTTTGGGTAGCGGTGATGGATGAAATGAGAGTCAAAATTAATAAAAAAGGGAAAGCGGGATATTGAATCTGTATCGGAAACTGACTGGACTGAGCCTATTTTTAAAAGACAGTCTGGAGGATCCTTTCAACACTCCTTTTAGAAACTGTCTCCACATGTCAAGTATACTAGAACTCTGCATCTCCTTCTCCAATCTTGTCTTACAGGGTTTCGTCTCTTCGAGACCAAATGTTATCACAGTCACACAATCACACCCAAAGTCACAAGAAAACACATAAATGAGGACAGAAATGAACAAATTAACTCAAAACAACATTCAGCTTCAGTCAAGAGTTGAAACCCTTATCAGTATATGGCCTCACTAACCATTCAATTGGAAACACTGTCTCATATGAGGAATTGTAACTTATTTTGATGGTTTAATCATAATAAGGAGTAACTCACTGGATTCAAAAGTATTTGGAATATCTACAGTATATCACACCTTCATCAATCAGGACAGCCTGCATGAATATCTACTGGGAGAGAAATTATTTGCATGCAAATATGCTGGCATTCAACACATACATGAACCCGGAGGGCATACAGTAGAGTCTGACATTTATTCTGCACACGATTTGCCTGGGAGCTCTTCAAACATATCAGTTCCACTGAGAATCATCATTTTTCTGCCTCACAGAAAGGAACCGGCACTCACTCAGGACCCAATCAAAAGAACCCGACTGTACATGATTCTGTAGAGCTTTTGACTGCAGTCAACCCTCCTTGGACCTAATCAACACCAGCAGAGCAGCAGCAGCCCGGTGCGGGACTGGCTGGATGGGCATGCCCTCCCCTCCAGCTGGCACGGCTCTCTTTATGGACCTAATCAGTACAACCACAGCGCTTGTCAAGACATCCTCTACAGAAAACGTCCTTGCTTTGATTTAACGCGAACGCAGAATTTCTGAATATCTAAATATTCTTGTTTTCAGGGATTCTGCCGGGGGTTTTTGAGGAACCGAGCACACGCAACACACAAGCACCAATCAATGAGAGAGGCTCTTGGATGGAACATTGTGGATGACTAATGCGGATAGAGCCAGTCGTCCAAAGCTGTTTTCACAATGAAACTTGAACGGCAACCAAATCCGGAACATTAATCTAATTTGTAAATGTCACACTTTGAATAACAGGCGTGGGGGGAAAAAAAGTAGCTTCATCAAATAAGTGCACAGTGAATAATGGCTGCCGATATACGGCATGCTCATGTTTGCGTGTGGTTATCTCACCAGCAGCAGCAGGAGGACCACATCTGCATGGTCACACACACACGCTACGTGCAGAGCTGTCCAGAGGTCCTCATCCTGCAGGTTGACATTCAGGCCTCGCTCAATCAGAAGCTCTGCTGCGAACACATTGTCGTGACGAGCACACTGCAGAGAGCACAAACAGCGAACAACATTATTACTGGTTAGAAGAACAGGTCTTTTCCAGAGGGGCTGCTGGCTATGAACAGAACACAAGATATATGGCTCAGTGCATATGACAATTAATGTTTGCGAGAATCTTTTGTGGATCAGCAATGATAATTACATTCTCGTATAGCCGAAGGGAATGTGCAAAACAATAATGATTAAGGCATTAAACATTGTTATGAGCACAGTCCCAAGTTAAAGAAGTGACACCACTGTTGTTAGGAAAAAATTATCTTCATAGATGTTTGGGTTTCGATTGGCTTTTGTGTAAGGATCCACTCCAGTCAGGAATAAGATTGTAAAAGAATTTGGGGGGGGGGGAATGTCACTAAAATCTTTTTTGGGAGTTAAACAACATTGAGCGTATCTTACCAGGTGCAGCAATGACCCTCCAGAGGGGATTGGGGTGTTGGGGTCTGCTCCCTCCTTGAGGAGACGCAACACTGCAACACAACAGAAATCCACATGTTAACACCTGTAATGTGTGAAGACAGCCCGTGTGGTCAGGGAGTGTACAGAGACACGTGCATAGACATAAGCACACTGATCTCTGCCGATAACTGTCAAATTTAATGAGGAAAGAGTCCTGTGACTGTCCTTGATGCATCAATGTCGATCAGTGTTAAGACTTGCACACACATTTGGTAGGTCTGTCCTCAAGGAGCGAGTAAGAAAACCACTGGGTTACACATATTCACATCACATACTATCAGCTGAAGTCAGCCGCACAACCCACTAGCACATTGACACAGATCTGCTGTGGATAACACAAGCCGTTCAGAACGGGTTTGCACAGCCAGGCATAAACTCACCAGCAGAGAGTAGCGGCTTTAACCAGGGCACAGTGATTTTACTACACAACCAATACATCTTTTATTAAATCTGTGCAAACAGAGATCAAGAGAGGGGGTGTACCAGAGTTCACCACTGATAAACAGAATAGTAGATAACAAGGGAAGGTTCACCTGAGCCAAACCAGCTGCTATGAAGGTAAACATAATGGTAATTCCACATTATCAACCCTAATGACCCTTCAGGGGTCATTTTACTTGTCCAGACTTGCATACATTATATAAACTAACCCTGTTGCATACACACTGAATTTGCAGGTCTATCATGTTTTAAAGCCTCTGATAATTCTGATTCATATTAAAAAAACATAAAAATTTGAAAAACATTAAGCTTGAACATAGGAAATTTGAAAAATATAAAGAAGTTTGTTACCATATTGCGCATTGTTATACTAAAACACAAAATGGCCAAGCTTACTACGCTAGCCTTGATTTATCATGCATTTAGCTAAACCAATCCCACATTTCCACACTCTCAATAACACCTTAACAAGTGACTCTCAGTTTATGACTCATTAACCTTGATTAACAAGCTACAGCTTTGCTCCCGATGGAGGATAGATGAAGCACCAAAATCTGTTCCGCGTCACTCAACATAATGTTCAATCACCTCTAAATGGTCCCATCGGCATGAGCGTGGTGCCAAAGAAGTCTTCAGTACAACAGATTTTGTAAACCATGAGCCATTAATGAATACGTGTACCCACATAGGTTTCCCTGCAACAGACTTACAGAATATTTTATACAAAGAAATGTGCTTTATCAATAATTAGTAGACAAGGGTGTCTTAATCCCACATATGTACTGTATATATATATACACACATAATGTATATATGATTATTCTTTTACCACATGATGGCAAAACATGACAGATTTACCACACATTTAAACATGTACAGTAAAGAGAAATTTTTCTCTTCCTATAAGCACTTCAGGTGCCTATTGATTTTTTAAATGGCTGAAGTGAATAAACTGACCTAGACTGGAAGGAAATAATTATCTCCTCATTTTCAATATTCTGATGGAACTCAAGACTTTAAAGCACCAATTAAGGCTCATTTTCCACAATGCTTAAGTAGTTACTTGGGAATAGATAGTGCTGTTTCATTTCTATTTATCAAAAGGATATCACAGCTCATTAGTGAGAGTGGACCTGGAGTCTAGTCTTAATGGCATTTCATGACTTATTTATTTTTGGAATCCAGATTTATTATAATCTTGAGTTTGGTGGGTAGCATTCTTTACTCCTGTACTCAATCCTGTATATAAGTGGAATTATCTAACCACATCACTTGATGTATCGAGTATAATTCTGATGACTCATATTCAGCATTTAGCTCAGTGATTTCTTTTTAACCAGCCGTGACTGCATTTAGAAAGGAAAATGGAAATGGAGGGTGATACTTGTACACTTGTAGACTGTACAAAGAGACTGCTATTTGGGTGTAAATTTCCGTAATTATAGGACTATTTTCAGAATACTAATCATAGGTAATGAATATTCACTGATGATAGACTTGGGGAACAGAGATTCTTGAGTTAATATTTCCCCAGAGAAGTAGACATTTTGGAATGGGAGTCCATAACAGCCTTTGGTCATAAAGACCCCCAAGAGTCTAGAAGTGTTTAATCACACAGAAGCACTTTGACATCAGTTTTGTGTTACAGAAACCTTGCAACTCATTCTATGACTCAAGTGTGTAAAATTCCCCACCTGTTACAGCTAGTTGGTGTGAAATAAGAACCTGTCTTGAGTTTATGGCACATTACTGGATGTGTGCAGAGGAAAGTGATGGATTAAGAGGTACATATTGGCCCTCTTGCTGTACAAAAATAAAAGGCAAAGTATTATAGTCATTAGTAATCAATACTACTGTTGTGCCATTTTGCAGGTTTCTCTGGACCCAATAACCGTGTCCATTTGATATCTTTATAAGTGTGAAGGTGGAAGCAGTATCAAAAATGTTTTAATTTTGGTTAAAAACCTTTTCTTTTAACATTTCCCTAATGAATGCTTAGCAGGTGAAAATAAATCCATTAGGGCCTCTATATCTTTTAAAGTACTTTTGGCCATTCCTTTATTTCAGTTACTGGGCATTTTTGGACATTTTACCACTTGTATCAATAAAAAGGTGAAGACTTTTGGGTTCATGATGTTGTACTATACATCAACATGAAATTGAAGCCTTCTTACATTTAAAAAAATATATCTGAGAGCTAATGTTCAACCTCCATCTAATTATATTCCAAGAAATTACCAGTAGATGTGTGATTATTTTTAAAGCTTTATCATAGGATGAATGAACAATCCTTGCATATTAGAGTAATTTCATGTTCCTGTTACATAACAGTTGGTCAATATGTGGTGCCATTTTACCACCAGAATGTAATCGTTATCTAACATAATTCAGTCATTTTAACTGTAATAACGGTAACTTCAGTAAATTAAACATTTAAGTCCGATAGTGTTACACTAGATGCTGATCTTCAGGGTTAAACTTTTAGTGTTGCCCCCAAAAATGAAGGCAAAAGCAAACACCTGTTTGAGAACTATACGGAGTCTCCATGACAACCTGAAGGGCAATGGTAGATGAAGTGCTAAGTGATAAGAGGGGATCAGCATTATAAAATTTGACACAAGGGTAGTTATCATGACTTGCAGTCTTAGTCCATGTTGTTATATTTCATTGCATTCCACACATTGAACCTATATGACTGAGTAGGCTTCTCTTGGATTTCTCAAAGTGTTAACCTCTTGCAGTTGAAAAGAAGAAAATACACCTCTTCATGCAGAACCCATTTTAGATTCAGTTTCTAAGCTACAATATGACCTCCAAGGACCATGATATTCTATGAATCTAATCAAATCCCTGTAAAACAGACCGTATTAAACCTGTTTCACAGCATTATTGCATTTTTCCTTCTCTATACCATAACCAGACAGGCTCTCCTGGGGTGAAACATCATTCTTCAGCAGCACAATATGAGATTCTGATAAAGTCCATCATCCTTATAAACAGTTGTGTCATTTTTAGGTCCATAGCACACACTCATGAACAGACGAAAGACTGCCCTGTGTTTCAGAAAATACTTTTTAAATGTTCAAATGTTAGAAGACGTTATTAGTATATTAAAACAATATGTTTAAACAATACTTAGCTCAAAGACAGATCATCTGAAATCATGTGTTTGAGGACATCGAACAGATTTCTATGTGGGCAGTGTGATTTTATGGATTTTTCGGTCTCTATAACAGCATATACCCCAGCAGGGTGTAAATATCATTTCACACAAAAAAGCATCTGGCACCATATTTAGAGCTTATAAAATAAAGCATTTATTGAACAAAACACCTCTGTAAACGGGTTTTTTTAATCCTCCAGGTCATGGTTATCTTAAGAACTGAAATATGGGGCAACTGAACACTGGGGCAACTGATTCTACACTGAGTTTCAGTTTCTTTGCAGCTGTCAGACAGTTTTCAACTGGGTCAGTGAGGAAATGCATGTCCCTGTGTGCAGTTAGTGGCTATTATGTGACCTCTTCTGTTTAGAACTACAGTGGCCTTTGGAATGAAAGGTAAAACAGCTCTAAGATTCAAGAAAAACTCATTATTCAAGCTGTATTTACAAATTTGTGTAAATTTGTGGCTTCACTGAGGGAACTTTATCTTGATCAGCTTTCCTTCCTGGTCACACATGCAGAATAAAACTTACACAGTTCCTTATTTGTTAATACAAATCTAAAACAAAAAAAACACAAATAATTTTTACTTTTCATCTGGCGCAGCATGAAACTAAAGGAGATCTGGTAAATAAATCACCCGAAAATTAAGTAAACCACGAGTTAATATTTGATACTAAAACAAATGGCCTGATGGTACCATGGTGGTTTTAAAAGGAATGGAAGGAAAAACACCAAACAATCTTTTTTCTACAAAGTCTCTGGATGGAGGCCCCGTTCTGTCAACAGCATGACAGATGTTAGACGTACCTTTCATCCCATCATGGTGAATATCTGATAAATATAAGCATGCATATTCACTTATAACTTGAAGGCTAACTGATAAATGATTGAAACTAAAATTCCAGGCCTTCAACATTTTCAGTCTCAGCTGTGATCACATCCAGCATGTCAACTAAAATACAAGTTGGTGTCTGTAGAACATATATTTAAAAAACTAACGTATACATATCCAACATCATAACTACTGGTAGAATTTGACATTTTTTTCTTTTCCATTTGGCATGCACTTGGTTAAAAATAATTTACAGAAAGATGCACCAGTTAAAGTGACTGTTCAAAGTTTGTTTTGAGGCTTTGCAGCTCCGATATGGACCCACATGAACTACAAAGCACCACTGCTTGCTGTATATTGTACATGCTCTTCTTTTTTATGCATGGTGTGTTTCAGTTTTATTAACTGTTCAGTTTTATCGCTACTGCAAAGCGCCAAGACTGAAAGCCATTACCTCTACTTGCTTCACTTCCTCAGCGTGGAGAAGTGATTGGAGTCTGAAAATGTGTACTGTGCCTGCACAACGGATTTATACAGATTAATCAATAACAGAAAGTGCAGCCAACTCCTTGTGTATGAGCATATTCTCTGGGACAAACACACATAAACTGCTATGTGCCACATGCACAGCAATTACAGTTTCATAAAAATGCACACTGAACAGACGGGGAAACACAGGCAGAAAGGAAAAGCATTGTGTAATTAATGCCGGGATCCAGGTGCAATCCCACCAAGAATGCCTGTTGCTTTGTTTGCCTTGCCCCCTGAAGGGAACAGCAGTGCTTAAGATTATGTTCTAGAGGTGGTTTCTAAGGCCAGTAGGGATTCTTTCAGATGTAGCTTGCAGAAAGCGCAGCACAAAAACATGTAAGGAAAGGAAAGACATTAGGACTTAGGGGATCATGCATGTCTTTTCTAGCTATCCCTCAAGTGGAAGTGGTGATTTTCCTCTGGGCCAAAGTGACTGATGGATGTTCAAAAGTAAAAACTTGAAAAAAGTGTTCATACACACATGCAGTCAAAAACCAAAACACACATGAACACAAATTTGAAAATGTGTTACATTTATCATATGTAAATAAATGATTGTTACAAAAGAAGTGATAAATGCATCAGAATCGAGGGCCAGTTTCAAGGGACAGTCAGTCACTATTCAGATACAAATTCCCATATTTTTTGTAACTGATGATGACATCTTATTATAGGACTGATGCAAACCCATCTAAAATCAAGACTTATAATTAGTAAAGACCTTATTACCATCATGTTTTACTGTATAAAGGCACAAACATGGAATGTTACGATGGATAATTATTCTCACGAAAAGCGAGACATAATGAAAACCAAGTAGGCTACACGGTTACAAGGGCAACAGCTGCTGCTGTTCCACTCGTGCCTGATTTTGGATGCAGTAAAGCGATTGGTTTGGGAAAAGCAATTTCACCAAATGTCAAAATGTAACCGAGCCAGATGTTTGCATGTGACAGATAGAAATGGAGGAGGGGGATGAGTTGAGGTATGCTCCGAACTCGCCATGGGGCTGTGCATTACTTGTTATATTCATCTTAACCGTATAATATTTTCCCAAACCTCACATCTCCTTCCAGCTGTTTTTCAATTTCTTTTACTCTGTAATTTTAATTTCCTGTCTGTCCTGAACCTTCTTACTTCTCTTTGCCTCGTTTCTCTTCATCTCACTGTCCTGCACAGGAAAATGAATCATTTTGAGATGTGTGTGTGAAGGCATAGAGCTGATCATTCACCTGCCAGGTCAGCAGATATCACTTCTGCAAATCCAAGTTGAAACAGGCCTCTGTTAAGCTTACCGTGCTACGTGCATTCTTTCTGTTTCCATAATTTTGTTTAGCTCTCAACCTATTTTTTATTTACTCGAATGAGTAACCAAAATACCGCTCCATCATTTTATCATGAATTATTATTGACTGAACGACATAGTGCTGATTAATTGTTTATGCAAGATAACAGTAATGTCAGGGAGAGAACTGTCCATCAGCTAAAAAGTGTTTGCTTTGGTTAACCTCTTTTTTTCCTCATTCTATCAATCTCACTATATTGATGGGATTCATGGGATGAGAATTTTGTGATGGCAATAAGCAAGGCGTAGAAAATGTACACTTTTTGTACTTGTATCTCATTTAAGAATTTAGAAACAGCTTTAATCAAAAAGCAATCAAATTTTTAGTGCTCAATAATCCTGCTGTAGTGTGCTTTCAAGATGAAGGACGAAAAGTGTCTCAGTCACTGACATTTTGAGGCATATTTGAGTTACTAGAGAGTCTGTTCTTATAATGTCTGTGTCTTACAATGAGAAGATCAGGAAGGGATTTACTATATTAAGTGAGTGACAGCCAAGTCAAGCAGCAATGGTAAGAAAACCAAACCATTCAGATCACTGATATCAGTAAAGAATCCTTCAGAAATATTGTAAAGATGAAAAGAAGCAAAAGGTCATCCAAAATGGATAGATGGCTGGCTGGTTGGATGTATAAGTCATCACAAAGAAACAGATCCAAATGAGCCCATAACAGAAAGGCACGCCAACATGACATGATCAAAGATTTCCCACTGTTCAGTCAATGTGCTGGCAAGGAAGCTGTCCCTCATTCAAAAATCTCTGTATGTGAATGTTTCACTTTGTTTTCAGCTATATTACATTCTTGTCTTGGACTTCTTAAAGAGGTCAAAAGGCCTTGTGCTGGCACCGTGGAAAAGCGGAGCATGGGCTACTAAACAGAGGGGGAACCAATTCGTGCTGAGCCAAGAAAAACTGTTTTTAGTTCAACGGCTGCAGTTGTAAACTGCTTGCTCTCATAGACAACCCGAAAGACAGCCAGATATCAGAGCTCAACACCCTGACCTGCAAGGACTGCTGATGGGTCCAGGCCAGACATGACTGGACGGCTTGGTAAATGACTGGTGATCACGATCGTAAACAAAAGGAAAGGCCGTGAGGTTGGACAAAAATCAATTCCCTGAAGCGTGTGAAGTCCCTTTAAATTTCATGGGTTTATTGACAGAATCATTTGAAAAAAACACTGTTGAGTGTGTTTTTACTGGGCACTGGAGTGTAATCCTTACACCCAAGGGCTGCGGAGATGGTATAATTTATTGTCTCTCTGACAAAAGCTGCTAGCCCACAGTTGAACTTCTACACAATTTGATCAGGAGTATCTGTGCTTGAGACACTTCATTGAGTCTTAGCCACTTAGAAATGGTTTAAACATCAACCACTGACTGTTCCAACAAGGTATAGCACGGATCATTCTTATTCCTGAAATCTGAAACCCCAAATAGGAGTAAATGTTGCATTTATTGCTAAAACTGACAAGGTTACACAAAACATTGAAAATTAAATTGAAGTTTTATTTTTATATAAAAATAGAGACTGGAAAAAATGGAAGAAGTTTTGCTGTGTGCTGGCGTCAAATACAAAACATACAGAAGAAAAGGCAGACTTAGCGCCACACTTCTCACAAATACCTGAATGATGCTTTATTTCCCAGAATTGCATGTTATTTTTGCATTGTTCATAAAGAAAACTCAAGAATCAATACCAATTATTAGACACTGTAAAAAAAAGAACTCAGCAGAAATATTGCTGCAGGCAAGGATCACCTGACAGATCTCTAACTGAGTTCTTTCACAACACTGAACGGTTTAAACAAAACCCAGCTTTTTTTTTCTCTCAGCCTAATATTATAAAAAAATAATGTGTTTGTGGTTCTCTGCTCGTGTTATTTTCACAAATATATAATCATGACACGGTAAGCAATGTAATATTAATGACATAAACAACAGCACCAGTTATGGCTGCCTCAGCAAGGTCGCGCCTATGTACCCTCTTTATTTTTATTTTTTACAAATGTTTACATGTAAACGAACACCAATTCCACTGGCAGAAAACAAAGCAAATTGGCTTGTTTTACCTACTGGGCAAAAGAAAAAGAGACATGTTTTCTCTGGAATTAGTGCTTGCTCTCAATATGGGACACAGTCCGTTCTGAGGTATTTTGGGTCGGAGTGAGAGAGGACCAATGACCAAACCTGTTAACGTCCCTGATGCAGCATCTGTGTGTCAGTCAGCTTTCACTCCCCAGAGTTAACACACGTCCACACCGAACCACAAACACACATGCACACTCACCTTCTTTGTCATCGTGGCGGACTATGGCGTCTTGTATGGCGTCGGACAGTCGGAAGCGGACGCGGTGCTTCTTGCGGAGGTTGGACGGGGCTCGGACCTTGATGCCACCCTGCTGGCGCTGGAGGCTCTTTTCTCTCTCGTAGTACGCCCTTATTTGGTCACAGCGCATCCTCCTGACCAGCCTCTGGCGCTGGCCTACGGGAAGAGACTCCAGCAGGCACTGGTCTATCTCCATGTTATGGCGAAAGACGTTACATAGCTGGAAACAACCTGAGGAGGACAAAACCACACGGCAGAGCGAGGAAGGTCATTCAGGAAAAAAAAAAACCACGGTCCGTTTGTGTTTAGCTAAAAGCCTGATCCAGAGTAAATGAAACATGTGATGAAACACACTGGTGCTGTTGATATCATCTTCAGGCACAACTGTGTTACTGTTTGTGTGCTTGTGGGTCTGTCTCTGCAGTTTGCACTGCTGTGTTTGTGAAGCCGCTTTGCATATTTATGATGTATACTGGCTCTCTGTTTGGCCCCGATTTGGGTTGAGCGAAGCCTCGCAGCATGTTTTGAGTTGTTTTAGCAACTCTCCTGACTGTGCATAATTTCCCCGCCGCTCAGTGGAACTTAGCCAAAAAGAACTCATCACGAGGCAGCTGTTGAGCCTATTGTGATCTGCCTGGATGATTAGGATGTTCAAGTGCTTGTGCAGCAGGTGGGCTAAGAATTAAACCCAGAAGCAACCAAAAGAGGCCCAACTTATTGCTTTGTGTCCTTCTGATGCTTAAGTGCACAGATCAATAAAAGGATAAGCTCATTTAAACATGGTTTAAACAAAAGGAAACGTCTTTAATTAAATTCACATTACATTTTCCCGAAAATAAATGTTGAAGTTTTTGTCCTGGAGTATGTTTTCCGATACTGACAGAATTCTATCAAAATTTTGCAATGATCTAAAAAATATTCAAATAAAAAGGCTGCTTTAAAAAAAAAAAGCGAGAAGGACATGCCACTCTGTAACTGTCCTTTAGAAAGCAGGCAGCTGCATTTTTTTTATCTGGGAATCTTTATCATGGAGAAACAAAGACATGAGCAGAAAAAGGAGTTACAGAAGGTTTAGTGTCCTTATTTTGCTCTCTGATATACATCTTTACTTTCATTCAAACACCTGCTCCGTCAGCCCCAGTTTGACACACACACACAAATATACACACCTCCTGGACAATACATCAGTGCCATCTGCTCGGTTTAGACATGTGAAAAGCAGCTCTTTTGTGTAGAGGCTCCAGGCAGAGGGGGGTGACGCTCATTATCCCACTGTTCAGACCAGGTGCCTCAACTGTATCTTTTTTTAGGAACTTGGCTGCCACTTGAGCAGGCACACACATACTGTAATACATGATAAAATAAAAAAAACACACCAACTTGCTGCTTTTTCTTTTGGTACAGCTCCATTCTCTTCAGTCCACACTGTTTGGCTCAAATTTTTTTCTTTATCGACTCACATGCTTCTTCTCTAAAGCCTGATACTCAAGCGGCCGTGTTTAAATGTTCCTTCTGTCTGTGTTCAAAACGCACAACTATTTCAGATGAGCGCACTGGCATTTCCTGTATGAACTAATGAACTCTTATGTTAATATTCAAAATGAAAGGACGCATTACTGTATTTAACTTTAAGCCTGTCCAAATATCTTCTATTTTGCATTCATTGGCAAATCAGAATTCTGGACAAAGATGAAGAACAGCATTTCCCTAGCGTGTTAAAAAGTAGAAAAAAAGCTCTATGAATTTTGAGAAAACCCGAGTCAAAACAATGTAACGTTAAGATCCCTGAAATGTTGAGTCATTTAATAGACTTTGCACCCATCCACAATTCTAAAAAATGCAGATTAGCTCGCAAAAAGAAAATCAAACAAAATAAAAAATGTGTGTGTCTCATTTAAATATAATGCATTTGGTTCAGATAACTGTTGGGAATACAAACTCATCAAAGATACAAAGATCTGACACATTGTTTCATGTAGTAAATAACAACTTGTTCATTGATTTGTGTGGGTCCCACAATCTCTGTATACAGTACTGGATGTTTTTTGCCTATCAATGTAATGTTTGTGGATTTCCTTTATCTGATCTTACCACTTCGATGAGCTATGTTTAATGTGAGAAAAACAATGTTTTTACTTAGGTCAAAATTGCACACTTAGCAATTGGAGTGAAGAATGAATTTTAATGTTAATTCAATAGAAAATATGTTTAAAGTTTTGATGCAATTTCATACAAAGTGGTTATATTTGTGTTTAGCATTAGAAATTGTACATAAAGCCTTTTTTATGCACGTGCTTAGTTGTCTAAAATGGTTTAATTTAACCCTTACAGCATGCATGCATATATCTAAACTCCATCATGTCGTAAATGTGTTCATCAGCTTGTTTGGATTCACTGCATGTAGTCGTTTTCAAAGTGCTGCTGGAATTCTCCTAAATTCTCCCATTTGAGGAATAATAAAATGCTGCACCCATCAATAGATTCACCATCTTCTTATTAACACCCAAAGCCTCTAGACTTCTTCAAACAAAAGGTGTAATTATTAGCAAACATTCTAAAATGTTAAAAACTAACAGAATGGCTTTGGGAGTCTCGTCTAACATGTCACTGATGAAACAATTTGGCTAACTGGTGCTACTTCCTAGAGAAAAAACACGTAAAAAAACTGCTCAATGCAGAAAGTGCTCAAATACAAAAACAGATGTTAAAAAACTTGAATTTGAATCGTAACTTCAACTATGAATAGAACCTTCACTATCATTCCAAAAAGTTGCTGATTAGGTCATTCTTTCTCCATGATTCATGTTCAGCAATGGTTTAGTCACAGCCTATCAAAGCAGGATAAGAAACATCTTCCAGACTATATCAATTAATAATAAATCAGTGCATTTTATCCGTCTCTTCTCCATTACTCGGCTGCAGTCTGATGCACACTAAGTGCTGTAATAAAGGCAAATCACAAACACGCTAGCTCAATTTTTTGCCATACATTCAATGATACTTTGCATCCATTACTGCTTTTGCTGTCCTCCATTTCTTGGTTTGCAGTATATTATACAAGTCCCTCTCTCCTGTTAGTCACAAGCATTCATCATCTTTTAAACTCACCTTCAAGGCCATAGCCACATAATCCCACAGTCTCCCTGCACATGACAAACATCAGATGAATTGACACGCTGGTGCAGACATGACTCACAAACAAGACGGTGCAAAGCTGAAGACCTGAAGGCACTCTGTCATGAATGGATATGTGTGCGACTGAAATACCAAATACCAAAAGGTGAAGAGAAAGAAAAAAGAACTTTTTGCAAATAATAAATCAAAGGTATGTACTTTAAATGCATTTTTCAGTGTACTCTGATATGTCATAACATTTGGCCCACGCATCGACACATTTCTTGCATCAATTCAATTGTAATTAAACTCCCACTTTGACTGATATTTAGTAATAATTTCTCAGGAAATTCCAAGAAGAATTTCTGTTTCTCATATTTTTGCTTTCAGAAGATATAAACATTTTGGGAGAAAAAAAAATCACAATCCATAGACTCACTACTACATTTCTGCACATAGTAATACCTAAGGTGGGAATATAAAATAAAACAAAAAACAAAACAAAAATTATTTCCATGGCTTAGTGTATGTGTACAGAAGCAATTCCTATTGTGTAATACATGAGTGAGAACTAATAAAAGGCAAGTGTTTAATCACAGTGAAGGACAGTGTCTCTGATGGGAAATAGGGCTGAGAAATCTGAGAGAAATGGAAAGAGTGGTGAGACATGGAAAGAATGCATAGGCTTCATTCTACAGCCATCCCTCTCCAGGCTATCAGCTATTGATTGAATGTAGAATATCCCATGTGGGCTCAACACAATAACACTGGCAGCTCTGCAGGAGCGTGTAATTTAGAGAATAGCTTGTATACACACACTATTAAAATTACAGATGCTATAAATGTGCAGGACAGGGACAGGGAAGGATGATGGGGGGAAGACAGGTACAGTTCTCTGAGTCATGGACAGAATTTGACGTCCTGCATCCTTTTTATTAAAGAACTCACTGATCCGTCCTGTTATTCTCCTTGGCTCATTTTCCCCTCATTGTTGCTTAAATACTAGCATCTTTCTCACCCATTCCTCTGATCCCTCTCACCCCTCTTTACAACACTTGGCCACATTCTTAATATGTCACTCATTCCATCATCACCATTTTCCAGTACTGCCATTTCCTCCATCTCTCCGTTGCTCTTCCAAATCACCCTCAGTTCCTCTCCATCTGTCCCCCTTTTCCCTCTCTCTTTCTCTGAAATGGCTCTCTTTATGTTGGATTATTACGAACACACCAATCATTCATGGGATGCTCATCTTTGCGGGTTTAATCCTTTTTTTTTCTTTGCCTTTGCTGCTACCTGCCGCATTCACCGGTCAACTTCACACATCTGCAGCAGCTCTCTGCAGCAAGCACACACACCCTCCTATTGAACGCACAAGTGCACAAAAATGCCCATTTGAAGTTCAGACCCTCGTTACCTCTGCAGTATGTTAATTGAATAATTAACCGGGTGAATTTGCACACTAGGACAATCAGCTTATATGCATAGGGAGTTGCATAACACAACACACACATACTTTGGCCTGAGGCAGACAAAATTTAAAATATCATGCAAGAAAATAGATGTCTGAATAGCTACTTACAACATTTGATGAAATGGTAGTGAGACATGTTCTGAGTAAGTCAGACACTCTGCCAGGCAGGCACACAGAGAGGTGGGAAGTCAGAGAAGCAGGCAGGCAGGCAGGCAGGCAGGTAGTAGGCAGCTACAGGTTCCAGAAAAACTAACTAATGCAGAGATCGTAACCGGCAGGATGCATTATTAAACCGGCTCCCTGCAAACTCTGTTCTCTCGTCTGCATAATTCAACACCAGCAGTTGAAGCTCCGGTTGCAGATCGTGTAGCTTCTACGTGCACGCCATCCCAGACTCGCGCACGCATCCGCAAACTCTCTCCCTCGCAGACAGACAATCTCACGGTCAGCTCGTCAGCGACGGGGAGCTGCGGCCGTTTCAAGCTCCCGTCGCCCACAGCCAGATAACTGCTGCACGGCTTCTTCCCAGCCATAGCCGACACACGTGCTCCTCTGGCGTCATGACTGACAGCCGGCTCATCCCTCCTCCTGCTCAACACACCCCCATGACGCAATGCTCCTCGCTGCCTTACACACCCCCCTCCCGGTCTCATTTTCCCAATAATACA